TATATATATATAATATATAATACTCTCTCTTAGTATATAAGGATATATAAAGTATATCTCTCTTATATAAGTATACTCTCTCTTATATATGTATAATATATATGTATACTCTTATATAAATATAATTATATATGTACATATAAGTTTATGTTTATATATATGTATAGATATATTAAATATACTATTATACTCTGTAATTATTTTATACTATTATATAAATATACTTATATATGTACATATAAGTTTATGTTTATATATGTGTGTGTGTGTGTGTGTGTGTGTCATATATATATATATATATATATATATATATAATATATTATATATAATATATATATATATATAATACACACACACTTTTATAGTATGTATGCTCGCGGCTTGGCCCGGGAAACCCGGCTGCCAGACCCGGCGTCCGGAAATAATGTTATACTTATATATATATATATATATATATATATATATATATATATATATATTATATATATATATATATATATATATATATGTTTATGTATAATACACTTTAGTTTATGTAATTTACTATAAGTATTTACAATTTGTTTATGGCTATTAATATATGCTATAGTGTGACTGTGGCTAATATATATACATATACATATATGAATGACATGAATACTGCGGCTAAGCTTTAGTAATACAGTATATATAAATATAAGTATATCTCTCTTACTATATGTATCATATCTCTTATATAATTATATATATGCATAAGTATTGCCTCTCTCTTATATATGTGTACGTGTATACTCTCTATATATATATATATATTAGGCTATATATAATATATATAATATATATATATATTATATATATATATATATATATATATAGTATATATACTATATATATATACCTCTCTCTCTCTATAGCTATATACAGTATATATATGTATATATAAGTATACAGTGTGTACTCTTATATATATATATATATATATATATATATATATATATATATACTATATATTACTATATATATATCATATAATATATAATACTCTCTCATTAGCTATATAAGGATATATAAAGTATACTCTCTCTTATATAAGTATACTCTCTCTTATATATGTATAACTATAGTATGTATACTCTTATATAAATAATAATTATATAATGTACATTATAAGTTTATGTTATATATATGCCTAATAGATATATTAAATATACTATTATACTCTGTATATTATTTATACTATTATATAAATATACTTATATATGGTTTACATATAAGTTTATGTTTATATATGTGTGTGATGTGTGTGTGCTGTTGTCTATATTAATATATTATATATATAGTATATAGTATATATATATAATATATTATATATAATATATATACTATATATAATACACACACACTTATAGTATGTATTAATATGTGCTATATATATTTATACTATTATATCAATAAAAATACGTTTTAGGCACTCAATCAAATCGGAAATAAAAACTCAAGAAAGCTTAGCAATACAGCATGGTCTGTAGGATTTGACGAGATAGTTACTCGTCCTCTGATTGTGCGTAAACTCCCTGAATCTGATCGAGAGGCATGATCCCCCTTGACAAGCACCAACAAAAATCCTGCCCTGAGACTAAACACTCCGGAAAACTCCTCCAAATCACCCCAAACGAACTAGGTTTGATGAGAGGTGGCGTAGGCGTTTCTCTTGGCATGCTTGATGGAGGTTTTTGGTTCGGTTCGTGTAAAATCTGAATATATATATATATATATAGGTATATATACTATATATTATATATATATTACTATATTATATAGTATATATATATATACTATATAATACTATATATATATATTATATATATATGGACGGCTTAAACCCGACAAGCCATCCAACCAAACCCGCAACTAAAAAAAAAACCCGAAAATAGCTCGTCAGTCGACTCATAGGTCGACTCATCAGTCGACTCATGAGTCGACTCATAAGTCGACTGAGCAGACACTAAATCCAGATTTCGTGCATGTTTTGTTATTCGGCCAAAACCAATGCACGAAACTCTATGAAACCACACTCATACATGTCTAACAACTTGTTACCAAGTATATCTATGACCTTAAGTCATTTATCACAAATAGAATTATTTATACACTAATAATTCATATATAATTCTAACAAAATACGGGGTTCTACAAATACCTTCCTTAAAAGCTGACATGATAGCCTACTTTATGGAAAGCTCAAATCCTTTTTTTAAGCTCGGAAATGGGCTAAAAATCTGACAACTCGTTAACGTACAACTCATCATTTACTCTCACAACTCCCTAAATTATTTGGCAATGAAACAAACATAAGTTGTGGATATGCTTTCATATTCTTCACTTCATCATTTCATACCAAACATAAGTTATGAATTCCTTTGAGATCCACAAACTTTTTTAGAAATGGTTATTTGCCTTGGAATCCATTTCCATTATTTTATGGAAACGAACCAAACTGCCCCTTAAATGAATTGGAGACTTTGCTTAGAATTACCAACACACGCGTGTCAAATATAGAAATAAAGAACTTTAATAAGAAATTAGATAAATAAATAAGATTTAAGATTTTTAAATCATAGAAAAAAGTATACAATAATAGTCCCTTAAATATCCATAAATTAATACACGTAATCTTTCTATTTTAATGCTTGTCAATAGCTAATCTCAATTATCCTTTACACACAACAATTTATCCATGTTGAAATGAGACTTCCTTACTTAATTTTGCCATCTAACATGACCTGCCATTTCTCACTTAATTTTGCTGTGAAGAGAAAGTATGTACATCTTGTATACATAATATACAAATTTATGGCCTACTATAAAAAAATATCACTAAATATGTATTAACGTTTTATAGTAATATTTTAAATTTATGCTAGTTGCGACCGTATGTCTAGATTTTTTTTATTAATAAAAAGTTGTTTGAGAACTTTAGAATTGTTACAAGTTGCCTGCCGATGTGGAAAATGATCGGAAAAGAGGTTCCAGGCACATTGCTGACATGGAAATATATTTTCCTTTTAATGTCGGTCGATCTGCTCAGATAACAAGATGGTTAGAAGGAGCCGGAGATGGATCTCTGATGGATCATCTAGTGGATCAGGGCATGATTTCTCTTGAAATGTATTTAATGCAAGACCCAAAAAAACAAGAAACAAAATACAAAATACAAAATACAAAATACAAAATACGAAAAACAAAAGCAAATGTCTAGATTAGGTTGAGGAAGTTATTATCATCAGAGTTCCTTTATATAGATCACTGTGTGGATGGATCTAAAGGCGTGACACGTGTCATCATACGAGTGGGTTGACTCAGCCGAGTGCACGTGTCGAACGCTCATACGACGAGTATGCTTCAGTGTACCTTCCGTCGATGATTTAAGGAGAGTGTTGAATGAAAGGAGGGTGCATTTAACTAGAGAGTGGCGATATGGCGGCTTGCTCTCGCTAGACACATGGTCGAGGGTAAACCTTTAACACCTTAAAAAGGGGCGGGTAGGCGCCTGAGCCGAGAGCCATATTAGGGACGGCAGAGAAGGGTTGAGTCCAAATCATCGTTTCATGCATCAAGCTCTTCGATTCTGTCTGAGCTTGGCATTGGCTCTTCCAAGCTATTGATTGGTTCTCCAAGTCTTCAGGCATCGTGCTGCCTGCTGGCCACGAATCATAGGTCAAAACTCCTCGACACGCCGCACTCTTTCGATTGCCTTTCGTCTAGTATTACATTTTGTACGTAGCGAAAGCAATATAGTTGTAAGTATAAAATTAATCTTTCATGACTGACAAAAAAAGAGTTACCCCCCACCACACACACACACACACAGCTAAGGGAAAAAAAAAAAAAAATCTCTAGATGATCATCAGCAAAATCGTTTTAACTTTCAAAATATAAAAAAAAATCACCGTTAGTGGAATCACAAAAACCTCCTTTAACTTTCAGATTTTAGTAGAAAGCCCACTTTATCTTTCATATTTTAAAAGAAGATCCCCTTTAACTTTGAGATTTCATCAGAAAATCCCCCTAAATTTACATGGATTTCTGATAAAATCTTAAAATTAAGGGGAGTGTTCTAATAACCCCTAAACTTAAGGTTTTTTTTTTCCTGATATTTTGGAAAGTTAAGAGGGGTTGTCTGATAAGCAGCAAAAGTTAAAAGGGGTTTTATGATCCCCCAAAAAAATATTTCACGACTGATTGTACTTTTTCACTTATAAGTCAAATTGTAGCCAAGGTACAGCGTGACATAACAAGGGAAAAAGTTGGTCCTTTGTAAATTACTCACTCAAAGGGACTTTTAAGCCAGAACTTATTTATTAGGACAAATTTTCAAAACCATCCGGTTTTAAAATTTATTCCAAAAAAAAGACATTTTTTAACTTTAATTACAAAAACAGACCCATTTGGATGAAACTGGGTGTATTTAAAAAAAAAAAAATTCAAACTTCACGGGAGTTGAACTCCCGTGAAGTTTTTTCTCATAACAAAACAGACCCAGTTTCATCCAACTGAGTCTGTTTTTGTAATTAAAATTAAAATGAGTCGTTTTTTATAAATAAATTTTAAAAAGGGATGGTTTTTAAAATTTATCCTTATTTATTAGAATGTTTTTCTGGGATTTCATGCCGGAGGGTAGTGAGCACAGTCCGCAAACGTGCTCTAATGACCCATCACTGCGTGTGGGCTCACCACCACGAGCTCTAATTAGGAGGGCGTCAACTTTTCCCCCGCTCGGCGAAGTCATTTTTAGATTTTCCTTCCAACCTTTTCACCTTCAGAATCTTCACCTTTTCTTAACGGGAAAGGCAACGCCATGGCTCTTGCTTAGAAAGATTACATTTTTACCGATCAAAATCGAATCTTTAGAATAGGGTCTTCCTCTCTGTGGCAAAAGAGCCGCCGGCTGGGGGTAAAGCTCACTGCTCTTGATCTTTGTTAGTTTTTTTTGTGCAATATTGATGATGTTATTTTGTCAGATGTCAATGCAGTTGCAATAAATGCATTATCTCGTCGATTTCACATTTGGGTACTCTTCAATTCTTTAGAATAGCGTATTTTGCTGTAAAAGCTGGTGCCTTTGCAATTAAGGGTTAGGATTAATCTCTTTTTGTGGGGGTATTGGTTATTTGGGTTCAGGCATCTGAGGATTTTAGTCCATTTCCAAAGTTAGCAAAACTTCTATATGAATTATGACTGGGATAATGTGATAGTATGATATGTGAATCCGCAATTGGCAGACTAGCAGGTAGAGCAAAATCACAGCTCAAAATAATTTTGGATTAGCTCATAACCTTGGGAAATGAGAAAGGAATACTAAAATACCTAGTAATATATGCTTTGTTTTCGTTATCTACTCCTATAACAGTTTGCAAGCTCATGGACATGCCCGGTTCTAGATACTCGTTATATCTATTCATGAACTGGTAACTTATGTAGAGAAACATAGCAGAATGCGGCATTTGCATTAGCATTTTATAGTTATTCTAGTGATTGTGAGCCTGGTCTCATTGTGGAAAATGAGCTCATTGCCAATTGAGAAGAAACAATCTGGTGGGTTCTGTCAATGTCTCAATTCAAAGAAACTAAAATGGAGTTAAGCAGGATTATATGGCTCCATATTATCTACATCAAGGAGACCGGGTCTCTTCATAGAAGACATATGTGGAATTTATGTCCATTAAGAGAAGAATAACAACTTTCATGGAAGGGAAAATGTTTGTACATGCAGAAATTATATCCACAATCCCATTGTACTATGGAACTCTCTGAATCTTAGAGCAAATGTACAATGTAATCTTTTAGTGTACTTAGATGTTTCTCCATAAATCAGAAGTTTGCTGTAATGAACATACAGTTACGAGATTTTGGTAAACCAACTCAGAGGCAGGCGAAAAATGATTTTTCTTTGGCGATCAATTACGGGTAAAAAGGATTTTTCTTTTCTTTTCTTTTTTTTTAAAATTTGTTTTTCTTCTGTTTAGCATCACGTGGGGCACCAATTTCTCAGGTGAAAAGACTTACTTGCATGTATTCTAGAGAGGCGCCTTATCTTGCTTAAACTATAGTATGCCTTTGAATTCTCTGTAAAAACATGGATATGGACATAAATTCATGCATACAAACTTGAGATAAAAACACAACTTGTGAGGTGTTTTTCTAGCTTAGTGTAAGACTAGTTTGAGTTGGTTGTTTTCAGAAGTTTTACCAATTTATAAACCTTATATTTTATGAAGATTCAGATATATGTACCAGCATCTCTATGCATGCATCATTGCTTCCTATCATAAATATGGTGCTCATGCACATTGACAAAAAATCCTTCTTGTAACATTTCATCATTTATAGTATTTGCCCAAATTGATGCAGAACCTTTCATGCTGTCCTACCTGAGTCAGTTAAATTAGTTGGCAGATCATATTCAGTGAGAATTTATGCAGTTACCTTCAATTTTACACTTTCAAATACACTAGAATTTAAATAAGCATTTGAGAAGATATTGAACATTTAGCATGTCACTAGAAATCAGTTACATTTTGCCTTCTCGAAATTAATATTATTGACAAATCACAGTTGGAATTTTAAAACCATTTATTGTTTAACACAAAGGTTATCTAGTATTCTTTCCACTGCATTTTTTGTTCTCTGAATGTGAGCTGTATATCCATTTTATCTCCAGTGTTTTTATTGTAAGATCTGATCTAATACACACTAAAGCACTAGGGGGGGTGAATAGTAATCTTTTAAAATTTATGCAAAGTAGATTATAAGTTGCAAGAAAGATAGCAACAATCACAGAAATTTGCAATCACAAACACAAACTTTTATACTGGTTCCACCTTTCCGGTGTACATCCAGTCCTCAAGCAAATCCCGCTTGAGAGTTCCACTATGATTTTGAAAACTATTACAAAATTAAAAAACAAACCTGACCAATTTACAAGACCATGCAAATTGCACACAATCTCTTCACCAAGAGCTCACAACTCTCACATCCGAGAGAACTTTTTTTGAATCAACAACACAATTCCTATAAGCCTTGATTGTGTAGTGATGTGTAGCAGTGGCTTTAGGAACTTTTTAATCTCTGAAAAATGCCTTAATACTTTGTACATGGGATGAAGATCAAAGGCTATTTCAGATTTCAGTTTTCTCAACACTTAGGCAAAAATCTGAATTTTAGAACTCTTGAGAATGCACAAAGATTAAAGCTTATGGATAGGAATGAATGGTGCAAATTTCTGAACTTCTAACCTCTTTATAGCCATTAAAAAGATAAGTTTTTAAAGCCAATTAACGGATCAAAAACGGCTATAAACAGTCACAAATTTAAACTTGAAATGTCAGAAAAACTATCTTTGTAGTCGACTACACTGAGTTCAAACAGACTTTGTGAAGTCAGGATTTTTCTTAGTAGTCGACTACACTGGTCATTAGTCGACTATACTGTAAAGACTGAAAGTCAGGAATTCAGATTCAAACCTTATTAGTCGACTATACTGTCTAGTAGTCGACTACACTGTAATTTGATAGAATTTTAAAAATTCAATTTAACTTTAGTAGTCGACTACATATAGTCACTAGTCACTAGTCGACTACACTGTATTAAAATACAGAAACTTGAAAATCTAAGTCTTAAGTAGTCGGCTATACTGTAGATTAGTCGACTACACTGTTATGTGACAGAAACTTGAAATTAAATCTAAGGTATGAGTAGTCGACTACTATTGTCATTAGTCGACTACACTGTCAAATGACAGAAACTTAATATATTGATCAGTGTACATGTAGTCGACTACAATTCTTATTGGTCGACTACTAAAGGGTAAAAATGATATGAATGAAGTATTTTGAGACTCATTTTTTAACTATAAACTCTTATGGTTACCATAGGGGATTTCTATTGTTAACCAACACACTAAGCATGTGTTAGTTGTTCTAAACACTATGTGTGTGTATGTGTTGTGAGTGATCAAGGCTTGTACAATAATTCTAAGTAAAGAAAATATAAAATTTACATTGTATATGTTTAAGCACTTCATCTTCTTTACTTCATATGCCTTGAGCTCATCTTGCACTTTTGTTCACATATCTTGAGCTTATTTGAAGTTGATATCTGTATTGATATGTTAGTGCACAATAATACACATAGTGAATAAATTGTTATCATCAAAACTATATCATGGGACATGATATCCAACATTTTTCTTCCTACCATTTCACAAGGTTAATAGTAGATTTTTCAATTGAAGACAAAGCTCTGGGGGTTTGAATGCAATGGGGCTGAATATGCTGGATGCTTTGTCAGACTACATTTTTTCAAGTCCAAGTAATGGAACTTCACAAAGTTCCGAGAGTAGAAGCACTGAAGGTTTATTCACTGATCTCTAGTACTAATTGTTCTATTTGTTACTCTACTCTTTATTACAGCGTGTCATCTAATTTTTGTGCATAATTTGTGTCTCAGATGAAAATTTAAGTAAAGAGCTCCATGAAAGTTTAGTTCCCTCCGCACTTAGAGTACCATGGGCAGATTCTGAATTTCCAATACATCTACATTTCTATTATATAAGATTTGTTCCTGTCCCAGCTGACAGAAAATACAGGATGTTTGGTCTTTTTCTCAAAAACCGTCTTCCAAGAGAAGCTGAAACATTGGAAATAGATCTCCATCTTCATCATAGTAGAATTGTTAAAACAGCACTGGTACCTTCTGGAGTGATAAAATTTGACAAAGATCAGGTGAACTAATTAATATTGTTTATCAGTATATACACATAGTCATGTTGCCCATCTAAAGAACATTAGCATATGTTTCAGAATTTGATTCTAGGGTTAGTTGCGGATAGGCCCCCTGTACTATCACCACTTTTTGGATAGACCACCTTCCGTTTTATTGTTGTGGATAGACCCCCCTAGTGACATGTTTTGACTCTTTTACCCTCAGAAGGTGAATCAGTACTCCAAAATTAATTTTTGGAGTACTGGAGTCGTTCATATGAGAAAATTCTTTTCTGACAAAGAACACCTCCTAAGGGTATAAGAGTCAAAAAAGTTCACCTCAAGTGTCTATCCACACTTGGGCGATAGTACAGAGGGTTCTTATGTAACAATAGAATTACAGGGGGCCTATCTGCAATTGGGCAATAGTAGATGGGTCCTATCTGCAATTAACTATTAATCTAACCTGACATTACAACGGTTCATTCTTTTTCAGATTATGCTTGCAGAGAAATTTCAGGAGATTGCTCTGAAGATCATTCTCGAAAGATCATTATTCTTTTCTGACATTGTCCTTCTTGGGGATATAAATGAACCTCATACTACTTCATCAACATTTTATCTTTTGCTTCCAGTTAAGATGCAAGACTACAGTGATGACAAGCTTGTTGACTGGGAAACTGTGGGACGATGTATAAATTCACCGGCTTTTGGATATTCAATAGATTCTCTTGATTGTCTTGATCCAGTTAATGATACTTTAGAACTTCATAATGGCACCTTCAAGAAAAGTGACATCATGAACAGCTTAGTTTTCACTCCTCATAACAAAAAGTTTTTCTTTATTGATGACATCAATCAAGAAAAAAATGTGAACAGCCATAAGAATGACAAGTATGCAACTTACGAAGCTTACTACAAAGAAAGGTAAATGATTAAGATGCAATTTTCATTTACAACGTTCACATATTTAATTTGCGCTTTATCTTTCTTTGTGCCTTTGAAGAAAATGTAATTAGAAATATTTTCACCAATACATTCTTGACTAGTAATTATAAATATCTATCTCCAATATATTTCTTATTGCATCATAGCATGTCACTTGTTTGTGCACCAAACTACAGTGCAGGCATGCTATATCAGGATAACTGGGAGTTGCTGTGTTATCTTGTATTTTTCTATTATACATTTCAGAACCATGTTTTCACCCCTTGCACTAATTATCAATTCACTATACAAGTGTATAGCCTACATCAATTGATGAACCAACTAACAGTTTTATCAGTCGACTTTCAGTGTGGCATGCCTAAATATCTACTCTTCATGAAAGAAATTGATCATTATTTTATTTCCAGTTGGTATTCATTATGACTTCTTGTATTCTTGCATCTCAGTTAGATCCAGTAGGACCAGTACTATTTTCGTTGCAATTGTCTCCTCGAGGTTGTCTTGTTAGTTAAGATTAGGGTGCATTCGGTCCGGATACAGCTCAGATATGATGCTTACCATATCCATATCCGCTTACTCATTTGGGATACAGATACGGATATGGATATACATCGGTAAGAAAAATTCATATCTATATTAGCTAAAATCGGATACAGATACGGATATACATGTGGATATATAAGCGGATATGCATGTTGATATAAAACGGATAAGTGAAAACTAGATACTGTTGAAAAAAATATAGTTCATGCGATACAAAAGAGTTCATTAATATGTTCATTATATCTAAAAAGCTAAGATTAGATATCTTGATCGTCAAAATTAACCTCATATTCATAATCTAAAAACTAAAAAACCATTGTAACAATATGACTAATATGTATTCAGATATTTCGAATACGATTCTGGATATTTCACTACAAAATCATATCTGTAACCATATCCTATCGGGTATAGATTTGAGTAAATATATATGTATCCTAACATATATGGTTATAGATATTTCCTAGGATACGGATACGGTTTAGCACCCCTAATTAAGATCTGAAATCTTTTGGCATCTGAATGGATACTCATATCATGGTTTGACAAAGAAAAACGTCTCTATCTAAGCAGATATGCTATTTTGACAAATCATTAAAAATCTTAAGTGAATTGATAATTTTTTATTTTTCTAGGTAATCTACTTGACTTCTTTTGTAATTGGCTTCCTTCATGTCATTGAAGCATATTCCCTGCTTTACCTACAGACAGTGTTCTGCAACAATTGAAAATTATGGTTTTGTTTAAGAAGGCTCAATATGCTTCAAAATGTTGTACTTTAGATTTATACCTTTTATCATTGTTCAAATCAGGGGTGTTGAACTTTTATATCCGGAACAACCATTTTTGGTTGCTAAACGACTTGCTAACATGCACAACTTGCTATGTGGTCGGGTGCAGACAAACAAAGGTGAGTATTTGCATAATGAGTATACTGTATCTTATGGTGTTAAAATTTTGTTCGTGACTTACATTTTCATTAAATGATACTTGGATTATTCCTTGTTGATGCCTCTGGTACTGGTTTGGATCCTAAATTATTTTGGAAGAATATCTACAGCATTGTATATCTATGTGATGGTTTCTTGTTTAATGTCAAGGTGATGGGACTTCTCTCTCTGCTAGGCATTAGGAAAGAAATATATACTTATTGAGATAGATGCTAAATAAGTTAATGGACATAAGTGCGAGTAACATTAAAATCATGTAGAAAAAATAACAATGTTATACTGTTCAATTACATAGAGATAATGGGTGGGCTCCATAAGATACAGGTCCTTTATTCTTTGATATAAATGCTGACTTAAAACAAAAGGATAAAATGATGACTTGGAAGAAAATTTTGTCTACCTTAAGAGTGTGAATTTCTGGTTGTGACACATCTACTTATTCTTAGAAAGACAAAGTCGAAGAAGTCTTCCTTGCAAAAGGATGGAAAAGATGTACATATACAAGTACTTGTATCCCAAAGGACCTTAGGAATTCCATCAACTCAATAAGTTGACCTTCGTGGATTTGGAGGAACAACTGTTTTCTATGGTAGAAAAAATATAAGGAGATCAACAAATGCCTGAGACTAATTCTGCACAAGTATGGCCTGAGAAAATCATAAACCTGCAAATATTAATATGAGATCTCATATATCACAGGTAACTGGTGACAAGTGATATGGAATACTATAGCATCAATGGTTGATCAATTAAATGACAGTCTGGCAGATGAAAATAGTTTAGTATATCACTAGATGAAGGACCTATTCTTTTTATAAAATAAAAAAAGAACAGTAAGATGAAGCTAAAAATGTTTGGAGAAATGTCCTTGAATCAAAAGTTGTATGGTCAGCTAATGTTTGTTCACTTTGTTGGCATGGGGAACAGCTAGAATTTAAAATTTGTGATGATTATTAAGCTTGTTGAGTGAGACTGCAGTGGACTTATTTCCTATGGTGCATTTGAATCTCTTATGGTTGTATATGAAGAATCTAACACCTTCGCTGACCTGACTAGACTTAATATATCGTAATCATTTATCTGTTTCAACTTAGATTCCCCAGTTAATAAGTAGTAATTCGTCGCAATGATCTTGACTATATAATTCATATGATCTCAAGGATAATGGATGGTGATGTATTTAATGCTTGGAAATTGGTCATCTTTACTGCAATTTTGATCTCATGACTGTACTCGTCAATCACTAGAATTATGGAGTATGATTCATGGATACAAGTAAAGCAATATTCTAATATATGATCATGGAATTACAGAAATTCTTGAAATTAGGATACTATTGGCAGACATTCGTCAAAATACCTGTACTCTTTGATTAATGATTACTTTATTGACAACATTGACATTTTTTTGTCTGCAATCCTTGTTTCCATGAATGATGCTTTGCTGACTCTAGCAATAAAAGTGGCATACTTCTCAACTATTTTGGATCAAATGTAGTTAATTCTCTATGGTTCCAGTGGTCCAGTTTAGTTGGACGAAGCTGGGTAGTTCTTATTTGAGTTTTTTGGTAATATGTTATATTCTATTTTCATTAGTGAAGAACTCATCAGAATCCTGTAAACTCTGTCAGCCATAAATGCATGTAATGTATTAGTGTAATGTTTCTGCACTAATTTATTTTTTGCTCTTGGAAAGCAGAGGTCCAAGATTTTAAGGAGTACTTTGAAGAGTTTCCTCCTGAAATTTGTGTTTTAAAAGTAATGGGGTTCTCCAAAGATATTGGAAGTTCCTTGGTTTTATTGCCTTCTCTAATTCATCATGTGGAAAATCTTCTCGTCGCTATTGAGCTAAAGGATATGTTGTCAACAAGCATCCCAGAGATTTCAGAAATAAGGGCTGATACAGTACGATCCATCTACTATTTGCTACTGTAATTATTTGTATTATCTATTACATATTAAACAAAGCATATTAAAAATCTAATTAGTTAACTGAAGGCACCAGCCTTTCAAGTCAATTAATATACTTCTCCATAGTGCTAAGTGTTGAATTTGCTTGATGCAGATGGTTAGCCTACATGATAATTGTACACTAGTTTTCAAGAGGTTTTGAGATCAATTTAAAATATGTTTTGTTTATTGCTATTGAATCTCTCTTTTCAAGTAAGTCATGTTTATGCTAGAAACCTTTCACATGGCTCGACTGTCCATACATGAGAATTTTTAATTATTTTTGGTTGATATTTCACGTTAAAACTTTGCATAAAGTGGTTACCTAACAAAGAGAATTTGTTTATTTCAGGTCCTACAAGCACTCACTACACAGAAATGTTCTGCCCGTCATTCTCTTGAGAGATTTGAAGTGCTTGGTGATGCTTTTTTGAAATACATAGTTGGGCGCCATAGTTTCCTTTCATATCCATCCCTAGATGAAGGGCAGTTAACCATAAGGCGTGCTGGCATTGTAAACAATTCAAATCTATATGAGCTAGCAATTAAGAATAATTTACAGGTGAAAATCCTTCTCTTGAATTTTAGTTTGCATATCCTTTTCCCTTTTTATGGTGAGATACATGTGGTAATTGATTTCATAGCTATTCTCACAAGCTGATTCTAGTCGAATTAAAATTTTCTATTGGAACAGATGGATTAAGATTTTTTTCGAATTATATAAAGCTATATTACCAGGAGAATCATGTAAAGGTTCACCAAGTTTTGTTCATTAATAAAAAACAGTTTTCAAGTTTATTTCCAATCTGAAGAAATTATCCTAGAAGGGTACTGACGGGAGAAACATCTAACTTATACTAGTAAACATTTTACATGGATAAAAAGCCCTGGACTTAGTTGCTGATTTTTGGTGTTGGGACAAGCTAGCCATTTAACCTGGGAAGTTATTTATCATACACTTATAATTCATACAGAAGCTGATGATAATTTGTATTTATAAGCATCAACCTGTTTCTTCCCCATTTTCAGGTGTACATACGTGATGAATTGTTCCACCCATCCCAATTCTATGCCTTTGGTCGACCCTGTAAGGTTATTTGTAATGTGGATACAGAAACAACTGTTCACCATCACAATAAAAAACAAACTGTGGTAAATGGCGTAGAAGTTAATGACGTAAAATGCACAAAATCCCATCGGTGGCTGAGTAGGAAGACTATTGCAGATGTTGTGGAGTCGCTTGCCGGAGCGTTTCTAGTTGAGATTGGATTCACAGCTGCGATTTCATTTCTCAGATGGATCGGCATCGAAGTAGATTTTGACACTTCAGATGTCGGGAGATTTTGTGAAGAAACCAAGAACAACATGTCTCTGGCTGACAATATAGATCTCGATGCACTTGAAACATTGATAGGATATAAATTTCAATACCGAGGCCTTCTTCTGCAGGCATTTGTGCATCCATCTTGTCACAATCACTCCGGAGGATGCTACCAGGTTAAGACTTGTGTTTAGAAAATTATATTAGAATATAATTTTTTTATTAGTGTTTCATTTCTGACATTTATATTATAAACAGAGGTTGGAGTTTCTTGGAGATGCTGCATTAGAATACTTGATAACATCATACCTCTACTCAGTTTATCCAGAACTTAATCCGGGTCAAATAACAGACTTGAGATCAGCTGTTGTCAATAATAAATCTTTTGCATACATAGCAGTTGGCAGATCCTTCTATTTGTACCTTAAACATAATTCTTGTGGTCTTGCTGAAACAATCAACAAGTTTTCAAGATATGTGCAGTTACCCGACTTGGAAAGGGATTTTCTTGAGGAGCCAGCATGTCCAAAGGTACTTCAGATATATGTTTTTCTGTGTTTTTGTTATATTAGACCCTGAAATCTTTGTTAATTCTATAAGGACCTACAAATCTTCATGCTTCTAAAATTGACCTCCAAACCATTAAGTTGTTTTAATTGAGATCCCAAATTTATTAAGTACTTTGTAATAAGATCCCCAAATCTATTAATTAGTATTAAATAAGACCCCAAAATCTAGTAAGCTGCTTTAACTAAGACACCTATTTTGAAAAAGTATGATGACTTGGGGGTCAAATTTAGAAATATGAACATTTTGAGTGTGTAATATGATGTTTGGGTCTATTATGAACAAACCCCTTTTTTCTATTAATATATTTGGTCATCCTTCTCCTGGATCTGTTGTTATTTGGGCTACAAAAAGAATGTCATAGCGGGCTGATTTGCAACATATGTCGCATAGACACGGATACTGGTACGGACATGGGCGCGGGTGCGGGTGGGAGTTCAAGTACGGGACATTACAATGTTTTGTAAAATAGGGTATGATGACACGGCTATATATATTAAAATTAATAATTTACGTAAGATCACTATATTTTTCTGTCACAAGTTATGAGACAGGGATGAACCCGACCAATGTCCAAGTAGTATTAGAAAGGGAATGTGAAGTATATGTTAGACTTTCACTAAGTGGATGATGAGCATTATAAATTAGAAATTTAGAGCATCTATTATATAACTGAATATATGTATGAATAAACCTATGTGTATATTCAAGGAGTCTATGTGTATATTCAAGGAGTGTTGGTGTTCAGTGCATATACAGTACATGATAGATGTGTCTGAGAAGTGTCGGTGTGAGTCACGTGCCAGATATGGGTACAGCTTCACGATAGAAGTACTCAAGTAACATAGCTTCCGACTTATGGATGTTTTATTCTTATTTATTCTATATAATTCTTTGTATATTTATTTCTGTTTTCACGGTAGCTCATAAATTTTGGAAACTAGTTCTTTTCACATATCTTTTGTAGTTATGAGCAATACTTTGTTTACCACCAGATACTCGGTGACATAGTCGAATCTTGCGTTGGTGCTATACTTGTAGACACAGGATTCAACCTGAAAGTTGTCTGGAAAATCATTCTTGGACTTTTGAAGCCAACCTTGGAGTTTTCTAGCTTGCAGTTGAACCATGTTCGTGAACTTAGAGAGCTTTGTCAATCTGTCGATCTTACATTCGAACTTCCTAAACCATTGAAAAGAAAGGAAGGCTACCTTGTGAGTGTGGAAATTGATGTGAAAGGTAACAAATTAACTTTCAGTGCAGTGAATCACAATTCAAAAACTGCTCAAAAAATGGCCGCACAAGAAGCTCTTTTGAAGCTGAAGGTATAACTAAGCTATGGGTGTTAAATTTTTTTCCCCATTAATATTATGGAACTTCTATTTCATTATATTTTCATCCATGCGAGTTATATGACTGATATCTGTTGTTAAAGTTATGTGAGATTTGTTATATACTCCTTGATGTCTACTCGTCTCTCAACATTTACACACAAATGTTGACAGTATATGTTATCACCTCACACTGTGAGTGATATCCATAATTTCCTGAATCTTATAGGTTCATAACTGGATCGATAACCATAAGTTCCTAATTAAGTTCTTAATGAGAATGATAACCGTGAGTTCCTTCAGAAAAGGAAAACACCTAATAATGTCCCAGAAGTCCATTGTCTGATCTTGGAGAAATAGAGAGAGTGATGCAGGTGAAGGTAAGTATGGATATCCAATTATCCTCATTATGTATGGATATCCAGGCTGCGTGTGCTCACGCGCATGTTATTTTTCAGGCATCAGCATGCTCATGAATTATTGTGTTAAGTCTTTATTTATGTTCACGGTCTATTGGGGTCCACATGTGTAGCATATCAACATACCTCTTCATCTGCGCTCCTGTGAGATCACAGTGGAATTTATCTAGCAGAAGTGGGAGGTCTTCTCTTTTTAGTTGTATGAGCTTTAATTCCATAAAGAAAAGATAGGTCCACCCTTTGCGTGTGCCAATCACTATGAACGCGTGCTTGGTAGGATGTGAACCTGGATTGCATTCTTACCATCTGAAACACCATTAGATTAAACTTCAAAGTTATAATGAGGGCGAAGAGTTATAATTTTATTTGCTGGGTCGATACCCGAACACAATATGTATCCTCGTTCGTTTTTAGCAACTATAAACACTATTTTTATTTTTGAAAGAATATTAGTATCCAAATTGGTTTCGATAAACGCTTTTCAATGTGGATATGTTAAACCTATATTTGACCCATATCGGATTCGTTTACATCTTTAAGATAAAGACACTTGAGAAGATGCTTTTATTGCCTTCATAAGCAGCGCAGTGGTATAATGGAAGAAGTTTATTTATATATAGCGTACTGCCATACACAGCTTCTGTTCTATGAGATATTTGCCAACTAGGAGAGAGTTGCTATCATGAGAGGGATAGAACTTTTTGCGTCATCATAACTTGTTTACTGGGTTAAGTGACTATGGTTTTCCCTTAGCAACTTCTCTTTTTTGAATATGGCACCAAAGCAAAACTCTTCAAATTTTACTTCGATGAGGAAATAAAAATGGTTTTTCTTTGAAAAATGGAAAAAATATTTGGTTGCTGAAGCCTGTATTAGAGGTCATATGTAAAATCCCAGTGGACACCAGAAGTTAGTCTAATATGGTTTCATCTTCGCCTTGGGTCTCATAAATATGGATGCATGTGTCAATTATGAAGAAGGAGAACAAATAGACTCCTCATCTGCCACCCAATGAGCTGCCACGTAGGCCAAGTTAGTGATCACAGGAAGCAAAGATTCTGGGATGACCAAAATAATGAAATGAAATAGTTATATTTTAAGCTAAAATACTCAAAGGCCAAAATCGGTGGAAGAAGAAGGTAGCGCTCTTGAATATTTCTCTTTATTTTATCCTTTACTAAATTTCTTAATCTATTTTTATTGCTCATTTCGTTATAAGTAAAATTTTGTGCAAATGAAGCATTAGTTTTGTATTGTCTTCATTCTCTTTTAGATTCAACCGTTATGTTTTTAACTAATGAAAAATATGATTTTATGTTTAACACTCCATTCTCCCAATTTTGTATCAGTCTAGCTGATTTAATCTTCATTTTTTCTAGTTTGATAAGATTTTTGAATATGTTGAAATGTTTGAACTGCTTAAGTCATGGTAGTATTAAGAAGGAATATATTGTTCTTGCATAACTAGACTTAATTTGACTTGAAAGTAAGACATTTATGATCAGGATAAATACTGGGATTGATTCCTCAACTTTGAAAAGAGCTAAAAGTTTAGTAGGTGTTTTTATTTTATTTCTATTTTTATTTTTATTTTATTTTTTGTGCACAACTCAACTCAGTTTGCTTGTGACCGGACTTTTGTTCTTAAGATTGCATAGTTGATACTACCTTTTATTTTAATGCGACATCAGTTATAAACTTATAAAGCTTCTTTTTCACTCAGGCTCTTGGTTTCAAGCATAAAAGGAGGTCACTGCAGCAAATTGTGCAGTCAACTAGGAAGGAGGCAGCAGAACTTATAGGTTTCAATGAAGAGCCAATTCCAATATCCAATGGTGATTCGTCGTCAAGGGAATCGTTTCAAGAACCAGAAAGGATTTCTTCCAAGTTATCACAAGAACCAGAGGTGACCCCTTCCAAGTTGCCACAAGAACTAGAAAAGACTTCTTCCGAGCTGCCACAAGACCAAGAAAAGTCTACTTCAGTGTTGAGTATCAATACAAAGGTCGAGGGGTCACCTACAGCAAGGATGCAGCTTTATGAATTATGTGCTGCCAAACATTGGGAGCGTCCTTCATTTGTCTAAAAGGATGTAAGCTACCTGTTGATTAATACTTGCAATATTTATCTGCCTTACTGTGCATAATATAGCTGTAATTGCTTTTGATTTTTTCTGGGTTTGCTCAACAATAACTTCATTGAGTTTGGCAACAGATATCGTGAATGGTTTGACATTCTTGCATGCTATCAAGAATAACTGATCATCTATTTTACAGTTCCCTAAGTTTCAGTTGTGATAAACTTGGGTAAATTTCACAAAGCCCTTGAACTTTGGGGGTTTCTGATGAAACCCCCCTAAAATTTAAAGTTTACCTGATGGGACCACGCTACCTGTAAATAGAAAATAACTAAAATGCTTTCAGGAGAAAAAAACCACAAATTTTTCATTCAACACACACACACACACACACAAAACAAAACAAAACAAAAAAAATTGGTTTTTTTCCCTGTCTTAATACATTTTCGTTATTTGCCACTTACGAGTTAGGGGGTCTGGTTGGAAGTTTTGAAAGCTTAGGGGGTTAATATGAGACTCCCAAAGTTTAGGGGAATCTGTGAAATTTACCCCTCTTCTCAAGAATAAGATGAATACCTCAACTCTTTCCTTGAAGGGAGACAATTCCTCTACATTTGTGGGAAGCTACGCTTAATTAAGCCATTGAATTCTAGCATTGCTTCCAAGCAAGTGTTCATTATTAATTTACTTGGTTTAGTTGAATGAAGGTCTCAGCAATCTTGTGGCACCTAAAGTGAATGCTGGTTATAGCTTTTACCTTCCTTTGATTCCCTTATTTAAGTCTAATATTAGCCTTGAATATCCATGCTTTTTTGTTGCAGTTTATCTTATTAAGCATCGCTATCGAAACTTTTGCAGGTTCACCTTCAAGGTTATTGTTCAGATGGAAGGGATCAGCTCTACGCATCTGGAGTGTTACAGTGAGCCTAAACAACAGAAGAAAGCTGCACAAGAGCATGCAGCAGAAGGGGCCATATGGTACCTTAAGCATCTTGGTTATTCGTCCAAAACATAAAAAGCCTTCTGCAATCTTTTTGTTCGGTTTTTAAAAGTTACTCTATGGGATATTGTTTTTTCATATGGTAATTTCCATATGGTATAAGTTAGATCAAAAAGTTGTAGGTGGGAACTGAAATCGAAGGCGATATCATGCGCAATACTCAGGATTAAGTGTTCCAACTTATTCCGGTCGTACTTTCTTGCGTTATTATGCATTTTGTGCCCACGGGGCAATGTTTGACATGGAAATGCTGCATAATATATACTCTGTGCTTTATGGGATATCGTTTGTGCAACTTTTGATGCCAATATCATCGTGCAGCTTAGAAATATCATCAAGGTATGTTTGGTTACAGGCAAAAATGCACACAAACATGAGTATCCTTTTGAGCGGCTGCTGGGATGCATCTCAGGCTATAATCCTGTCTTAATTCAATGAAGGGACTAAAGTTATAAATGAAATATTAACGGCTATTATATCTTCCTTTTATGCTTAGGGACTTGTAATTCAGAAAGGAATAGATTCTGATGCTGCTGAATATATTCGACCAGGAAAAAAAAAAAAACATGTGGACAATATATGCATATGCTTTTGCTATCGCATTTCTTATCTTAAATTGGAACGACAATTATCAGCACGCTCAACTAAACCTGATAGTAGATAGTTTATGATTTGTATGTTCATCGTGTGTATATAGTGCGTAATATGCTCACGATGGATAGCGAGTATATACACACGAATCGTAGGATATCATCCCAAAATTGCGAAGACGGGATTTGGATTCTTTCTAGTTAGGTGGTAATTGGAGAAGGTGGGTCCACATACCCCAGTCTTCACTTTCCGTCACAATCTTGAGGGATGAGATTAACCACCATTATGAAAATGTTAATGCGAAAATTAAAATCTTGCATGCCTTCATCTTATTCCTCGAGGGTTCGTAGTTAATACGGCAGACGTGATTCCATCCTCTTGATATGATTTTGAGGTGGTTAATCCGCTTGAGCTCTAATTTTATCACGACGACCCATATATGAAGACATGTGATCGGTGCCTTGCATGGGCATAGTAGGGGGGCAGTTTGGCA